TCAAGTCAGATTCGACTCATAGTGACCCCTTCTTGGGTTTCCGAGGCGGTATCACTACAGAGGTAGATTGCCCCATCTTCCTTCCGAGGAGTGGCTGGTGGGTTTGAACTGCCAGCCTTCTGGTTAGCAGTCAAAGGCCTTAGGCACTACACTACCAGAGCTGCTCACCATGGGGATAATAAAGACAATAAATCCAGGGTTGAACAAAGTAACAGTTGAAACCGGTGGAGATTCAAAAAAGAAAGTATAAGTTTGTAATTGAACCTAACTCATTGCCATTGAGTCAATTTCGACTCATAGCGACCTCCATTGGGTTTCCAAGGCTGTAAATCTTTACAGAAGCAGACTGCCTCCTCTTTCTTCTGCAGAGCAGCTGATGGGTTTGAACCATGGATCTTTTGGTTAGCAGCCAAATGCCTTAACCGCTATACTACCAGAGCTCCTTGAGTTTGTAAATGAGTGGTATTAAATTTCTCAGTATTTTTAAATGCATCAACATTAGAAGTATTAGAATGCATAATATTTTAATAGGAAAATAGCAATGAAGACATTGGTTGAATTTTTCATGTCACTTACCCTGAAAATCCTAAATACCACTGTTCACCTAGTGGCAACTCTCTGAACTGTAGCCATAGTTTCTTGGAAGAATGTCCTCAAATGTTTTTTCCTTTAATAAACTCTCCTTTAGTAGTAGTAGTTGTTGTTGTTGTTGTTATGTGCCATCGAGTCAGACCTGACTCATAGTGACTCCTCCTTTGGTTTCTGAGGCAGTATCACTACAGAAGTAGATTGCCTAACCTTCCTTCCAAAGAGTGGCTGGTGGGTTTGAACTGCCAGCCTTCTGGTTAGCAGTCAAGTGCCTTAGGTACTATGCTACCAGAGCTCCTTTTCTTTAGTAGTAACTCCTGCTAAAAAAAAAGTCTGAGAAAACTCCTTTTTTTTACATCAAAATATTTAAAAACATCCTCCCTTATGATAACTCATGGGAAAAAAATTGTTTTGGTTACATAGTGCCGTTCTAACAGTAATACCACAAATGGGATGGCTTTAACAAACAGGAGTTTATTCTTACAATATTTGGAGGCTAGAAGTCCAAGTTCCAAGTGCCAGGCTCTAGGGTTGTGTGAAGACCCCTCCACCTTGGGCTTCAGCTCTGCCTCTTGCTCCCGGCTCACTGAAGCTAGAGGCCTCTCTCTTCACTCAGGCTGCCACTAGCTGCTGAGGCTAACAAGCCCAAGGTCGACAAATAAAATGGCACAGCTCTGATGTTACCAAACCACATAGCAGGCCATTGATTCAAGTCCACTGAAAGTCCCCAGATGAGCAGAGTATGGCAGGCTGCTGAACAACAACTCAGCTACATGCAGGGTTCAAATGCGCCATAAGCTAGAGACCATTCCCAAAGCTGCTGCTTATATATGGGAAGCAGACCACATCCATAAAGTAGCTACTCAGCTGCTTGTGGTAGGTCCCACCATGGAACTGATTGCCAGTGCTCATCATGGGGAATAACTACCACCAGCTGCCCAGCCACTCAACCAGGCCCAGCCAAGTTGACACACAACCTTAACTACCACAAAAATGCTGATAAAAGCTACTATAAATTCATTGCTTTTTTAAAAAGTACAACAATTTGGAAGTGTGCTACGGTGCGGTGTGGTACTCACTGGCTTTGAGTCAGATCCGACTCAGCAACCCCACCTTGAGTTTCCCAGGCGGTATTACTTAGGAGCTCTGGTAGCATAGTGCCTAAGGCACTTGACTGCTAACCAGAAGGCTTCTGTAGTGATACTGCCTCCGAAACCCAAGGAGGGGTCGTTATGCTTTGGGTCCGACTCCACGGCAAATAACAACAAGTACTACGGAAGTAGATTGCACAACCTTCCTTCCGAGGTGTGGCTGGTGGGTTTGAACTGCCAGCCTTCTGGTTTGCAGTCAAATACCTTAGGCACTATGCCACCAGAGCTCCCTGAAAATGTGCTAAATACCCATTTTATATATAAGTGACTCCCCTATATTTGAATGCAGGTTGTAGCCTGAAGCTGACAAGCAAGACCTACCTGGTTTGGAAGTCCAACTCTTAAGGAGTTAAAAGAACTTTTAATTTGTTCAGTGTTAGGCTTCAGTGCCTAGAAAAAGTGTGTGGCACAAAGTGGGTGGTGCTCAACAGATACTTGTTGAAAAACGGAATGAATTGGCTCTGTAGTCAGTAGCTGGGTAACCAAGTAACTAGCTGGTTACTACTGTCAATCATTTCTGACTCATGGGGACCCTATATGTGTCAGAGTGAAACTGTGAAACTGTATCTTCATTTTTGGAAATAAATTGATTCACGAGGCCTTTTTCTTCCATGGCATCTCTGGGTGGGCTCGAACCTCCAGCCTTTCAGTCAGCAGCTGCATGCTTTAACTGTCTGCATGGACTCCGCCTGCAGGATACTCTGCTGTTTGTGGCCTAATTTTAATTTCTAAATACCAGATGTTTTCTTCCCTCTAATTTTTTTTCTTCCCATTAGTTACATAGGTTTTTAATAATTAGGTAATGTTGTAAGGATCTACACATATTTATCATTTAATTCCATCAACGTGTTCCAAGTAGTTTCCAAACTATTTGCCTTTTTTTTAAGCAATGTATTCATGTGGGGATATTTTTTCCCACAGTTTTGTCTTCTCAGTGTAAATGATACTTTGATTCTCATTGGACTGTGAGACCATTTACTTAGATGTAGTAACAGCGCCATCTTGTGAACCTTAGGGTATTACAGCTGAAAATTTTTAAAGCCCTGACTTGTTCTTGTATCATAGACATATACATCTTTCATTTTAGTTCTTGAAAACTTATAGTGAGTAGAATGATATTTAATCAGATGTTGGTCTGAGGTTTCCTACACATTTTTCCTACACATGAACATTTTCTAAACCATCCAGTTATTACTTTATAGGGATATTAGGTGCCTTGGTGTCAGTTCTAACTCATAGCGACCCTATGTGTAGCAGAACAAGCAGAACAAAGCACTGCCTGGTCCTGTGCTATCCTCACAATTATTACTGTGTTTGAGCCCATTGTTGCAGCCACTGACTGTGGCAATTCCTCTCATTGAGGTCTTACTCTTTTTCACTGACTTTTAACTTACCAAGCATGATATCCTTCTTCAGTGAATGGTTCCTTCTGACCACATTACCAAAATAGGTGAGAAGTATGGCCATTCTCGCTTCCAAGAAGCATTCCAGCTGCACTTCTTCCGGGACAGATTATCTCATTCTTCTGGCAGTACATGGTATTGTCAGTATCCTTTGCCAACATCACAGTTCAAAGGCATCAACTCTTCTTCAGCTTTTCCTATTCATTGCTTAGCTTTCACGTGCATATGAGGCAATTGAAAATACTGTGGCTTGGGTCAGCGCACCTTAGGCCTCAAAGTGACATCTTTACTTTTTAACACTTTAAAAAGGTCTTCTGTAGCAGATTTGCCCAATGTAATACATCATTTCATTTAGTCCTGACTTTAAATAATACTCCCATTCTTTGTCTTTTTGTTGTTGTTATTGCATCAAGTAGGCATCAGGAGACTTGGAGGAGAAATTCATCAAATGCTTTAGTTTCTCTTGGGTTGACCAAGCACTTAGATAAGTGACAAAAGTTTTATACTCTTGACTCAAGCTGAGTGGCTTTCCTGCTTGGTTAAAAGTAGCAGCAACATAATTATTGGCTTGAATCCTTTGTCTTACTCTCTTGCAACTTATCAGTCCCTGTTTTTTGATGGAAAATAGAGATAATTCTAAAAAGTTATATACCAAACCAAAAACCCACTGCCATTGAGTTGATTCTGACTCATAGTGACCCCCTTTGGGTTTCCAAGGCAGTAAATCTTTATGGAAGTAGATTACCCCATCTTCCTTCTGCAAAGTAGCTGGTAGATTTAAACCATCAAGCTTCTGGTTAGCAGTCAAATGTCTTAGGAACTGCACCATCAGAGATCCTTAAGAAGTTATGTAGCTAAGTGATTTTCGTTTAAAATCAACTTTTTAAAATATATTTTTTATAAAGGCGTAATTGCATATTTAGCTTCATCTGTGCCCTTTGTAGAAGGCTGTACATGGAAAAACTGTATTTAAAGTTTTATTCCTTGGTAAAAATTATATTCTGACTGTATTTAAAACCCAATTTTCATTAGAGAACCTATCTGAAGTTATTATTTTACTCCAGTGTGCAGAATGAGATGACATAATGTAACTTTTTCATTGTTTTTAAGCAGTAAGCATCTGGGAATTTTTCCCAATGCTCTATCATCCGCTTTAAAGTAATTAATGTAAGTTGTAAACATATTACAACAGTACTGCCATTGTGTAAAATAGTTTTGGAGCATATGTTCTTTTGTCTTCAGTGTTAAACTTTCTATCTTTTTTTAGGAGGATACGATTTTTAAAAGTTGCCAAATCTGGAGAATTATGTGGGTAATTTGGGCTGATTAATTTTGTTTGAGGCTAAAACTAAAGTATGACAAAGTAATTAGGCAGATTTGGTTGTCTTTTAAATGGTCTCTGACGTAGAAGCTTCAAAACCCTTCTGAGTAATTGTAGTATCACTCAATGAATAGCCTTAGTGATGATTATTTGGAAAAAGGCCTTCCTTTGAGGTACAAGTTCTGCTTTCTTAAAAACAAATGACTTTCCTTTATGGAAGCATTCTTTCCACCACCACCTCAAATATTTTATTATGAAAATCTTAAAGCATGCAGAGAAGTTTAAAGGATTGTACAGTGAACATCTATATACCCACCACCTAGGTTCTATAACTGAATTTGTTTTATTATATATCTCCCCAGCTATCAATCTATCTTAATTTTTGACACATTCTATTGAAAGTCCATTCACTTTAAAGATCTGTCAAAAATTTGGTACAATGAACTGTTCAAGCTTTGAAAGAAATAGAGTGTGTTCACTGACATAAGGGAGCAAATGAGCTTCTGTGACCATCTCACCTTCTCTCTGTTTTTTCAGGATGTGTTCCACATGGTGGTTGAAGTACCACGTTGGTCTAATGCAAAAATGGAGGTAATATTTTGCCTTATGTTGATAGTTAGACCGAGCATATCAGTTTTGCTCTGGCCACACTGATTTGAACATCTGCACTCCAAGGCTTTCCTCTGTTTAGTCCTAATCTGTTTTCCGGTTATATTTCCCATTACCTACCTGACTGTCTGCGCTCTGTGCTGCAGCTACACTCAACCATTTACTTTTTGTAAATATGCTGCAGGCTTTCCTTCTTCACATCTTTGCTTCTGACATTCACAGAGCCTAGGATGTCACCTTTTCCTCCTGTCTTACTCTCTCCCACTTAGTTACTGGCTTAGTCACCCCAGCCACCAAGAATGCATTGGAATTTCTGTTGCATTTCGTTAATTGTTCCTAATGACACCTAACACATTTGGCTTTTTGTTGTAGACATTTATTACATGTTTTCTATCAATTAAGCCTTTTGACATAACCACATTTTGTATGTAATACACAATATTTGAATATTTTTAAATGCTTTAAAGAAAAGCTGAAGTTGGATAAGACTTGTTTTGCCCTTTTACTAAAATCTTGGTACTTCTCATTTCTCAAATGGTAGGATTTATCCCAGCTAATTTTGGTTTTTGCTTTGTGGAATTGATAAATTTTATTTTTCCCTTCTTGATAGTTCCTGTATATCTCCAAGTAAGCTTTCCACTTGATGGCTGATTGTAGAGTAACTTTTTTTGCTTTTTTTAATTGTGATTTGAGTAAAAGTTTACAGAGCAAATTCACATCTACCTAATGTAAATGTTCAGCTTATATACCTATTTTTTATTTGGCTGGAAGGCACAGGTATGTGTTCAATTCCAGACCTGAAGGGCAGTTAGGGGCCATAATCTCAGGTGTTCCACCAGGTTCTATCAGACCAGCAAACCTGGTCTTTTTTTTTTTTTTTTTAAATGATTTTGAGTTTTTTCACATTGTTCTCCCACTCTATCCAGGATCTCCTACATGGAGCCCCCTCCAAGTAGTTGATAGTGGTAGCCTGGCACCATCTAGTTCTTCTGGTCTCATAGTTGTATAGGCTGAGATTGCATGGTGGACCAGTCACTTGGACTAATTGTTTCCATGTCTCTTTGGTTTTCTTCATTCTTCTTTGCTCTGGATGAGGAGAGACCCATCATTGCATCTAGATGGCCACTTGCAAGCTTTTAAGATCCCAGTTGCTACTTGCCAAAGTAGGATGTGGAACAATGTTTTTGGTAAACAAAACCAATTATGCCAATTGAGCTTGATGTCGTCCTCTGTGACCATGGTCCTAACCCCACAGGTCCAACTACTCACTCCCTCTGGGTAGCTGACTGTGGCCAAGAAGTGGTTGTAGAACCATGTCCCTTTACACATACACTTGTAGAAACGTTGTCTGCCAACCCTGTATATGGTCATGGGCACACTCCCCCCTGCATAGACATACTTAATATTTCAACCTGTCCACCCATCTATCCACCCATAGATCAGTGTTTGCCTTCACTGAAAACACAGTACTATAAGCGAAAAAGGGTTCATCTTTGTTGTCTGTACCTCCCATGTACTTCTGTCTTCCTCTTCCTCGATTCCACTGTAGAGTAACTTTTAAATTATAATCTAAAATTTATAATTTTTGATTCTAATTATAAAAAGTTGGGAGTAAAATATATCTTAAAGTGGAATTAGAGGCCATACATACCATAATTCAGTTCCTCAAATTCTTATCTAAATAGTATTGCACAGCCAAATATACAACAATTTGCAATTTTTAATTTCAGATTGCTACAAAGGACCCTTTAAACCCAATTAAACAAGATGTGAAAAAAGGAAAACTCCGTTATGTTGCAAATTTGTTCCCTTATAAAGGATACATCTGGAACTATGGTGCCATCCCGCAGGTATGTTTCCATGCAGTTGCTGATAATGGGCTTTTTAGCTTACTAAAAATTAACTTACTGCACTTGGTAAAGAGATCGAAACACCTTCAGAAAGTTTTATGAAATACTTATTTTTCTGTGTGGACTGATTATAAGCTATATACCATCTTTCTTTACAGATTGAGTCTATTAAATAGAGAGAGACAGGATAGAGTAGTAGTTCAAAGCACTGCTCTTTGCACCACGCAGAGCAGGGTTCAAATCCCAGGTCTGCCATTTTCTAGCTGCCATATCTTGCCTCAGTTTCCTCTTCCCTGAGACAGAGATATTAAAAGCTTTTAGCTCATGTGGTTATTGTGAGGAGTGAAGCACCTAGTAGTATCTGGCACATGTAAGTTCTCATAGCTGTTGACTTTTATGTTTAGAATCTGGATTCCTTTTTTAAGCCAGGTTCTTTGTTGTTTGGAATAATGATGAGATTCTGTTTTTCAAAGTAGTCCACCTTTTGAGGAGAGGGGATGTCTTCCTTGTTTGCCAGCTTTTCCCCATTACAGTATCAGTGTTGGAATGAAAAATCCTAGGGTGTCTGTTAGGAGTAAATGAGATTCTGGTTTGACTAGGCTAATGCTGTGATGCTTAAGATTTTCACATGAAATATTCCATTGAGATTTCCCCTGCTGATTCTGAGAAATAATTTGTTTTTATTATCCATTAAGTCTGTTAAACAGAATCCACTGTGAAACAATCTGTATGTTACTAGAATATAGGTCAAACTTGTTAGGTAATCACAAAGTCTTTGCATTAATTACAGCACTTTTAACTGGTATTTAACTGTTGTGTTATTATGCCTGGAAGTATTGTCCCTTTGGAAAAACATTGTTGAAATACTTATTTTTCTGTGGGTTGGATTCATTGTGTTTTTAATGTTGGCTTTGTTAGAGCCAGTCTTCCTTTATCTCTCTTTTTGCCTTTATTCCAGCTGAGTAGACAAACAAATCCAAGTAGTTCTGGTTGAGGGGGAAAAGAACCAAAGCAACATTTTAAACTTGACTTCCTGACATGCAGGAGCTGTCAGTTCTTTTGTTCCAGATACTCCTTAAGGATTCTATCTTGCAATTTAGCAAGGAAAGAAAGCTAGCTATTTAAAGCTCCAGTAAATCCTGATTAAACTTTTCATTGTTGATGTCTAGTCAAAGTGATGACACGTTTATCCTTAGAAAACTTAATTTTCATTTTTACTTTTTTTTATTATTATTTTTCCTTTCTTTCATTTTACTATTTCTACTTTGGAAATTTATTTTGAAGAAAATCTAGTTAGAATGTAATAAGTACCTCCGTGAGTTAATCAACAGTTTTCTTCTAACCTATTTTTAAATTATAAATATTTTGATCTGTATTTCTTTGTGATTACATGTTGGTTATTAGGTGATGGTGTTTTGCTTTGTTTTGATTAGAACCATTGTCAGATTTAAAGCTTCAAAAGACATCTCACAAAATAGGAGAAAACATTTGCACATTACCTGTTTGATATGTCTAATATACACAATATATAAAGAGCGCCTACAACTTAACAACTAAAAGAGAGACAATGAGCGAGGCATTTGAATAGACATTTTTCCAAAGAACATATACGAATGGCCAGTAAGCACACAAAAAGATGCTTAGTCATGAGAGAAATGCAAATCAAAACCGTAATGAGATACACTTCACTCCTTTTAGGATAGTTATAAAAAAATAGAACAGAACAAGTGTTAAAGAGGATGTGGAGAAACTGGAACCCTTGTGCATTGCTAGTGAGGAATGTAAAGTGGTACAGCTGCTGTGGAAGACAGTTCCTCAAATACTTAAACATAGAATTACCATTTGACCCATTACTTCCACTCCTGTGTATCTACCCCCAAAAAATTGAAAGCAGTGTTCAGATAGATACTTGTACATGAATATTCATAGCAGCATTATTCATAATAGCCAAAAGGTGAAAACAACCCAAGTGCTCATGAACAGATGAATGAATAAACAATGTGATATATACATAAAGTGGAGTATTACTCAGCCATGAAAAGGAAAGACTTATATATACTACAACACAGATGAACCTTGAATTATACAACTAAAAATTGTTGATGGGAATAATATATGGTAAATATATTTACTCCTATAAAAAAATTTGTATATGCAAAATAGGGGTTCCAGAATTTGATTGTAATTATTGTGTGTAGTTAAGATTCTTAGATGTGAATGAGGAGTTTTTACAGAAAGACTCATGGGGTATTATCTTTTAATGTTAACATAATACCTTTGTCAGTAAGAATGGTATACTCTAACCATTATTTTTTTAGACCTGGGAAGACCCAGGACACAATGACAGACACACTGGCTGTTGTGGTGACAATGACCCAATTGATGTGTGTGAAATTGGAAGCAAGGTAATGAAATCTGAAATTATTTTTCTTCACTGTTGAGGTTATTTTCATGAAATATATAGCATCTATACTTTCATAAATATCGTGAATAAAATACATGAATATTAGTGAAAATAATGGTATCTTTTTGGGTGGTAAAGTGTTTCATTTCATTTTTAGCATTTTAGCATTTGTATGTTATAATTTAAACCTAGTCTAGAAAAAAATTATCTGTATATATGAATGGACTTATATGTAGAAGTAGACATGTTGTGTATTACTTTGAAAGATAGAATTAGTCAGTAGGTTGAAGGGTACCAAGAAACAAATTTCATCTCGGTACAAGGCAAAACTTATCTAATGATTTGGAGTGATCAATGAATTAACTCACACCAAATAGCCCCAAGAACTGGAGGTTTGTGGTTGTTGCTGTTGTTAGGTGCCATCAAGTCGGCTCTGATTCATAGTGACCCCATGTACAACAGAATGAAATACTGCCCAGTCCTGCACCATCCTCACAGACCTTGCTATACTTGAGCTGTCGTTGTAGCCACTGTGTCAATCCATCTTGTTGAGTGTCTTCTTCTTTCTCATGACCCTCTACCAAGCGTGACATCCTTCTCCAGGGGCTGATCCCTTCTGACAACATGACCAAAGTAGGTAAGATGAAGTCTGGCTATTCTTGCTTCCAAGGAGTATTCCAGCTACACTTCTTCCAGGACAGATTTGTTCTTCATGTGGCTTGGCATCTTTCTTTCCCCAACTCTTTAGCTTGCTTGTTTAATCTCTTGTGTCTCAAAAGAGATTGACTCAAGATAGACCCTACACTAATTATGCCTCGTTGACACAAAGACAGCCCATTCCCAAATGGAATTATAATCGCAGACATAGGGGTTAGGAGAGACAATTCAATCCATAACATACATCCTTTGGTCCCAAAAAAAGTCATGTCCTTGCCACATATGAAACACATTTATCCCATCATAGTGTCCCAAAAGTCTAATATCAACTCCAAGTCCAAAATCTCATTTTCTAAATCATCTAAGTGAAGTATAGGTGAGAGAGAATTTAGGCATATTCCATCCTCAGGCAAAATTCCTCTTCATCTTCGAACCTATGAAATCTAGATTGTAAATGATCTGTTTCTAAAATACAATGGTGAGACAGGTAAAAGGTAGACATTTTCATTGCAAATGGGAGAAATTGGAAGGAAAGAAGGGATAACAGGCACCAAGCAAGTCCAAAATCCAGCGAACAATTTACATTAACTCTGAAGACTTGAAAATAATCTTCTCTTCTCTGAGACCATCTAGACCATCAGACTCTTAAGTACTGGCCATGCTCTCTGGATTCTAGGTGGAGGCCCGTCAGCCCTGAGCTTCTGCTCTGCCTTCCAGGCCACTGGGATGACAACTCTGCTCCCTCAGTTTTGGGTGGCCTCATTCTCATAGTCCATCTGAGTCTTTTGGGCATGGCAGCCCTGCCCCCTCATTTTTGGGCAGCAGCCCCCATCTTCTTGACCAAAGTGAATGGTAGCCCCACAGTCTAGTACTGAGTGGGTGAAGATCTCTTTGAAACCTAGGAGACTGTGGCCCCGCCCTTTGAGACCAAAGCTTCTCATGCTTCTTCCAGCAGTTCTGCTAATCTCTGAGCCACTCCAGGGATAGTTCTTTTGTTTTCTTGGAAGACAGCAGATGTAGATCCTTTGGCCTGTTTCCTACCTGTACAATTCGAAGAGGTAGACAATATTCTCTCCTTTCTTTCTTTCTCTCTCCCCTTCAGTCCAAGCTGGTGGATTTCCTGCTATGGTAGTTGGTTTGATCCATCAGTCACAGGCTTAATCTCATTAACAAAAGATTGGGTAGCCACATTCTTGGTGGAAATTGTAGGACAACAGAATTTTCCAAATCTTTAAGTTCTGTTTTATTTTGCACTGTCCTTCTCTTACTTCTCACATTTTACTATGAGCAGCAACAAGAAACTATGTGGCCTCCTTTAAGATCTTGCTCAGAAATCTCATCTGCCAGATATCCACGTTCATCAGTTTTACCTTTCACTAAATATTTGAACATAATTCAGTCATGTTCTTTTATCTCTGCATAAAAAGCATCACCACTGTCCAATCATGTTCATCTTTTTCTTTTACAGCCTCACCAGAAGCACACTTAACATCCATATTTCTAGCAACGTTCTCTAACACCATATGTATTTCTAAGGTGATAGAGACTTGCACTATAGACCTCCTCACTTCCTTCTCAGTCCTCACCAGAATTATCTTTGACGTCCATAATTCTACCAACAGTCTCTTCAAAGCAAACTGGGCTTTTACTATTAGATATCTTAAAACTCCTCCCATTACCCAATTCTACCCATTACCCAATTCCAAAACCACTTACACATTTGAGGTATCTATTACAGCACTACCTCCACTTCTCAGTACCAAATTTCTGTCTTAGTTCTCTAGTACTGCTATAACAGAAATACCACAAGTGAGTGGCTTTATCAAGCAGAAATTTATTTTCTCACATTTTAGGAGGCTAGAAGTCCAAATTCTGGGTGCTGGCTCTTGGGGAAAGCTTTCTCTCTGCCAGCTCTAGAGAAGGAAGGTCCTCATCTCTTTGAGCTACTCCTCCTAGGCAGTCTTCATGTGGCTCGGCGTCTCTCTTCCCCCATCTCTACTTTCACTCGCTTGTTTAATCTCTTTTATATCTCAAAAGAGATTGACTCAATACACTACACTAATCTTGCCTCATTAACATAACAAAAACAACCCATTCCCAAATGGGATTATAACTACAGGCATAAAGGTTAGGATTTACAATAATATTTTGGGGGGACACAATTCAATCCATAATAATGTATTTGAAACAAATTATAGAGGATTATTCTTTGGCACAGTGGTAATGTGAAACATATTAATTACTCAGAATTATGTTAGTGGTTTTCTTATGACCTGTAAATAATAAGTTATACCTCTTTTCCACCATATCAAAGTTGATTATAGATTTACTTGTTTAACTTATTTGCTTCAAGTAGCAATGTAAGGCAAGTTTGCAGATGCTTGGCAACTTCCTTAATTCTTGTTAACCATGAAGTAATACTTTTCTTTCAGATTTCTTTCTTTACTGTAGTTATTGACTTGTCTTGGCTTTTATTGACTTGACTTGCCTTGGTTGTTGTTACTGACTCTCAGGTATGTGCAAGAGGTGAAATAATTCGTGTGAAAGTTTTGGGCATACTGGCCATGATTGATGAAGGGGAGACGGACTGGAAAGTCATTGCTATAAATATGGATGATCCTGATGCAGCCAATTATAATGGTAAGAAATTTTTTTTTTTTTTTTTTTAAGAGTCTAAATCTACTTCTGTAGTGATACTGCCTTGGAAACCCAAGGAGGGGTTGTCGACGGCACATAAGAACAACAACAAAATTTTTATACCTAATTCTTTTTTTTTTTTTTTTTTTTTTAATTGTGCTTTGGGTGCAGATTTACAAAGCAGACTTGTTTTAAATTCAACAGTTCATGCACATTTGATTTCATGACTCCGATTACAATCCCCAACCATAAAAAACTCTCCTCCCCTCTCCTCTCTGTGACCACCCCCTCCCTGTGCCCTTCTTACCTATGCATTCCTGTCTGTCCAGCATTCCCTCTATGTGAATGCTCCCCCTCTGATGGCTCATGGTTGATTGGTGTATTTCTCTAGGGTAGGTGGGTGCATCTGCCTGGCATAGGTGTTCTGCTTGTAGGTCTTTCTACTGTTGGACTGAGAGATAATCCATGGAAGTGAGTCCATTTCCAGGGTAACCCAGGGTCATAGTCTCAGGGGTTCCACCAGTCTCCATCCAACCAGTAATTCTGGTCATGTTTGTGTTTTTTAATTTTGCAATTAACTGATTATTGTTTTCCTTCATTCTAGAGAAGAACATTTCTAATAGTTCTGGTTTAGTTTTCTCCTTTCTTTCCTCATACGCTAGCACTCTTTTGCCTGCTTTCTCTTTTTTATTGAGATGGAATTCATATACCATAAAACTCACTGTTTTAAAGTGTATAAGTCAGTGGTGTTTTTTAGTATTTTCATCAAGTTGTACAACCCTCATCATTATCTAATTCCAGAACATTTTCACTACCCCTGCCAAAAAAGCCCCATATCCAGTAGCCATCACACCGGCTGCCCCACCACACACACATACACACACACACACACACACAGCCCAGGCCCTGGTAACCAACCTACTTTCTGTCTTTATGGATTTATCTCTTGTGAATGTTTGCTGTAAGTAGAACCATACAATATTTTTGCTCTTTTGTGTCTGGCTTTTTTCAGTTATCATAATGTTTGCCAAGTTCATCCATGTTGTAGTATGTATTAGAACTTATTTTTCTTTTTTAGCTGAGTACTATTCCATTAGAAGCTCTGGTGGCACAGTGCCTAAGGTATTTGACTGCTAACCAGAAGGTTGGTGGTTCAAACCCACCAGCCACTCCATGGAAGGAAGATGGGGCAATCTTCTTCCATAAAGATTTACCACCTTGGAAACCCAGTGAGGGTCACCGTCAGCTGGAATCGATTCCATGGCAGTAGGTTTGGTTTGGTTTTAATATTCCATTACTTGGATAATACTACACTTTGTTCATCCATTCGTCTGTTGATGGATACTTGAGTTGCTTCCACTTTTGGGCTATTATGAATAAAGCTGCTGTGAACATTTGTGTGTAAGTATCTGTTTGGACACCTCTTTTCAGTTTTCTTGGGTTTATACCTAGGAGTGGATTTGCTGAGTCACATGGTAACTCTGTTTAACCTTTTGAGGAAACAATTAACTGTTTTCTACAGTGGCTGCGCTATTTATATTACCACCAGCAGTGGATGAGATTTCCAATTTCCTGTTTCTGTTACTCAGTTTCTGTTTGATAATAGCCATCCATATGGATTGTGGTTTTGATTTTATCTCCCGAACGATTAATAATGTTGAGCATCTTTTCATGTTCTTATTGGCAATTTAATTACCCTTTTCGGAGAAATGTCTATTCAAGTCCTTTGCCCATTTTTTATTTGAGTTATTATTCTTTTTATTGTTGGTTTGTGAGAATTCTTTTTGTATTCTAGATAGTAGACCTTTATTAGATCCATGATTTGCAAATATTTTCTCCCATTCCGAGGGTTGTCTTTTCACTGTCTTGATGGTATTCTTGATACACAGAAGTTTTAAATTTTGACTAAGAGTTTCCTAGTTTCAGTTCTTATATTTAGATCTTCGATCCATTTTGAGTTAATTTCTGTATGTGGTCTGAGGAAAGGGCCCAGGCTTATTCTTTTGCACATGGACACCCAGTTGTTCCAGCACCATTTCTCGTGGAGACAGTTCTTTCTCCACTGAACTGTCTTGATGCCCTTATTGAAAATAAGTTGACTGTAAATCTGTAGGTTAGTTGCTGAATTTTGATTGTCTGAAGTCTTTTCTGAAAAAGAAATATTTATATTTTAAAACTCTGCCTGATTTATCTCGACTACTTTTATATTAGGAACTCTGGTGGTGTAGTGCCTAAGGCATTTTGTTGCTAACCAGAAGGCTGGCTGTTCAAACTCACCAGGCACTCTTCGGCAGGAAGATCGGGCAATCTACTTCTGTAGAGATACTGCCTCGGAAACCCAAGGAGGGGTCGCTATGAGTCAGATCTGACTTGACAGCAGTGATATGTTTGGTTTGACTTTTACATTAACCTTAGCTCTATTTAATGAGCTAATTCATTTATCTCAATATTGAATTAGTTTTCTCTTATCTGTCCAATAAGATACACTGAGTCCCTGAGTGGTGTAAATGGTTAACATGCTTGCTAGCTAACTGAAATGTTGCAGGGTTGTGTCTATTCAGAGGCACTGTCTTAGTTCTCTAGTGCTACGATAACAGAAATACAAGTGGGTGGTCCAAATTCAGGGTACCAGCCCTAGGGGAAGACTTTTCTCCCTCTAGAGGGAGGACCTTGTCTCTTTGACCTTCTGCTCTTGAATGATCTTCATGTGGCTTGCTTTCTCTCTTCCCCTACTTTTGCTTGCCTCACTCTCCTTTTATCTCTCATAAGAGATTTGCATAAGATACCCTAAATAACCCCACCTCATTAACATAACAGAAAATTCTTTCCCAAATGGGGTTATAACCACTGGCATAGAAGTTAGGATTTACAACACATACTTTGGGGGACACAATTCAATCCATAACATTACACCCTTTGGCCCCCATGAATTCATGTCCTTGCTGTATATAAAACACATTCATCCCATTGTTTCATTTCAAAAGTCTTAAATCAGCTCAAGTCCAAATTCTCATCTTCTGAATCATCTAAATCAAGTATGGGTGAGACTTCAGAAGTGTTCTATCCTGGGGCAGAATTCCTCTTCATCTGAGAGCCTGTGGAATCTAGATTACAGTTGATCTGTTTCTAGCATATGGTGGTGGAACAGGCATAAGGTAGACATTTCCACTATAAATAGGAGAATTGGAGGGAAGAAGGGATGACAGGCACTATGGAAGTCCAGAACCCAGCAGAACAGTTTACATTGGCTCTCATAACTTGAAGATAATCCTCTGTTCTTTGGGACGACCTGGGCAATGACCCTGCCCTCCATACTCTGAGTATTGGCCACACTTTCTGGCTCCTAGTTGGAGGACTCTTGGCCCTGGGTGTTAGCTTCATCTTCCAGGCCCACTGTGAGCAACTTAGTTCCCTTGGCTTTGGTCAGCCCCATTCTCCTAGTCTATCTGAGTGATGATCCTACCCCTTTAGCCCCAAAAGGCCCTGTACTTTTGCCCCTTAGGCATGGCAATCTTGTCCCCTCTGCTTTGTGTGGTGGTCCCGTCCCCCTGACACGCCTTATTGGCAGCCCCACACTCCAGAGCTCTGGTGGCTTAGTGCCTAAGGCATTTGACTGCTAACCAGAAAGCTGGCGGTTCAAACCCACCAGCCACTCCTCAGAAGGAAGACTGGACAATCTAATTCTGTAGAGATACCCCCTCAGAAACCCAAAGAGGGGTCACTATGAGTCGGAATCAGCTCAACAGCAGGGAGTATGTATATGTATACACTCCAGAAACAAGTTCGCAAAGATCTGACTCTTTGAAACCTAGGAGGCTGTGGCCCTACCCTTTGAGATCCTGGAGACCTAAGTCCTACCCTTTGAAACTGAGAAGGCCCTGCTTCCTGTGCTCCTTCCAACAGTTCTGCTGATCTCTGACCTGCTCCAGGGATGGCCATTTTCTTTTCTTGGAGGACAACCGATATAGTCCTCTGGCCTGTTTCCTGCCTGTACAGTTCCAAGAGGCAGACAGTTTTCTTTCTTTTCATCTGGTCTTTGATTCCCTTCAGTCTAAGCTGATGGTTTTCTGCTGTGGTAGTTGGTTAGAGTCATCACTCGTAGGCTTAATCTTTACTAAAAGATTGTGTAGCCACGTGCTTGGTGAAAATTACAAGACAAGTGTCCTTAGTTTATACAACAGAATTTTCTAAATCCTTAAGGTTTGTTTCATTTTGTACTGTTCATTTTTAAGTCCTTATCATCATCTCATATTTTACTATGAGGAGCAAGGAGAAACCACATGAACCCCTTAAGATCTTGCTTAGAAACCTCATCAGTCAGATAGGCAAGTTCATCACTTATAAGTTCTACCTTCCACCAAGCATTTGAACATAATTCAGACAAGTTCTTCGTCACTGCATTAAAAACATGACCCTTCCTCCATTGTCTAATCATGTTCATCTTTTTTCTTTTACAGCCTCACCAGAAGCACGTTTAACGTCCACATTTCTAGCAACCTTCTCTTACTGGTACCATATGTATTCTCTAAGATGATAGAGACTTTCTCTATAGCTCTCCTCACTTCCTTTTCAGTTTTCACCAGAATTGTCTGTGGCGTCCATTATTGTAGCAACAGTCTCTTCAAGGCAATCTAGGCTTTTACTGTTCTCTTCCAGCTTCCACCCATTACCCAATTCCAAAACCACTTACACATTTTAAGTATCTGTTAGAATAGCACCCCACTCTTCTGGTACCAAATTCTTAGTGATCTAGTGCTGAGATAACAAGAAATCCCACAGGTAGGTGGCTTTACCAAACAGAAGTTTATTTTCTCACAGTTCAGGAAGCTAGAAGTCCAGATTCTGGGGCTAGTTCTAGGAGTAGGCTTTCTCTCTCTGCTGGCTCTAGAGAAAGGTCCTTATCTCTTGGAGCTACTCCTTCTGGGCAGTCTTAATGTGGCTTGACATCTCTCTTCCCCATCTCTGCTTGCTTCTCTCTCCTTTTATCTCTTGTAAGAGATTGACTCATGACACCCTACACTAATCCTGCCTCGTTAACTTTACAGAAAACTCATTCCCAAATAACCACTGGCATAAACCAAACTCAAGCTCACTGCCATTGAGTCAATTCTGACTCATAGCGACCCCCATTGGGTTTCCAATGCAGTAACTCTTTATGGAAGTCGATTGCCCAGTCTTCCTTCCAATGAGTGGCTGCTGGGTTTGAACCACCAGCCTTCTTGTTAGCAGTCAGATGCCTCAGGCACTGCACCACCAGAGCTCCTTAACCACTGGCATACTCACTAACTCACTGCCATCTAGTCGATTTTGACTCACAGCGACCCCTCCTTGGGTTTCCGAGGCAGTATCACTACGGAAGTAGATTGCCCCATCTTCCTTCTGAGGAGTGGCATAGAGGGTAGGATTTACAACACATATTTTTTGGGGGACACAAATCAATCTGTAGCAGGTACCAAGCAAGCCTGGCAATCTAATTCTAAAAACTCAGCCTTTGAAAACCCTATGGAGAACAGTTCACTCTGACATACATGGGGTCACTATGAATCAGAGACAGCCTGATGTCAACTGTTTCTCGGTTTTTTGTTTTTTGTTTTTGTTTTTTTTTAATATTTCCTGGTTGATTTAGCAAGCTTTCCAGACTTAGTGGTACTATGGTAACAAACCAAAACTAAACTCACTGCCAATGAGTCAAGTCCAACTCGTAGTGACCCCTCTTGGGTTTCCAAGGTGGTAAATCTTTATGGAAGTAGATTGCCCCATCTTCCTTCCACAGAGTGCCTGTTGGGTTTGAAACCACCAACTGAATGCTTGATAATCTTTAACAATGGAGATTATAAATTGGATTTAAGCAAAATTACATTATAAAATATAAATATACTTCTACTGTTCAATGTATTCCTCTTTCTAGTAACACTTATCCTGATTGACTTTTTAGCACTTAGATCTTCTGTTAGCATGCATTGAGCCTGGATTTGGTCATTTAAAAGTCACTTTGAGGACATCAAGCGTAGTCACTGTTGATGCTCTACAGAAACTTTAAAATGGTTTTTAGCAGGACACTTCTATTGGCTTTGCCGCATATAAATACATGCACCCATCAACCATCCCAAAATATAAAGCACTGTGATATAGAATGCCTATGCTGTTGATCAAGAAAAGTCTAGTCACATTTAGTTTGTATGAATAGCTATCAGCCTAACCCTTTTTCCTTGTCTTCTTTTGGTTTGTAATTAGGCTGTGATACTCTGAAATACAGTCTTAACCCGTCTTTTTTAATATCTTCTGCTCTTCTCATAGACGTTATCTACACTTGCCAAACTAGTTTTTATTACATAGCCACCCGTAATTTCTCCCTTCTTTTGTCTAAGAGCAGTTAGGATTCTACTGATTGTTCCCTTGGTATTTAACGTCAGCACTTTTCTGAGTCCTGGGCGATACAGATGGGTAAAGTGCTCAGCTGCTAACCAAAAGGTTGAGGATTCGAGTCTATGTAGAGGCACCTGAGAAGCAAGGCCGAGCGAGATCTCTGAAAAATCAACCATGGAGCTCTGGAGGTCTGCTTCGACACATACTGGGTCACCATGAGTCAAAATAGACTCAACAACAACTGGTGACTTTATTCTAAGATACTAGAGGATTTCTTTTTAAAGTGTAAATATGTTCTCTTTTCAACAAAGAGGTTAGCTCCAATAATATCTTAACACTTTTTTTGATGAACTATCCCATAGCTTTCTCACAATAGGTACTTATATATATATATATATATATATATATATATATATATATATATAAAATGTACTTGATATTTTTTAATGCACTTTACAATCTGCTTATTCTCAGATATTAATGATGTCAAACGTCTGAAGCCTGGGTACCTAGAAGCTACTGTGGACTGGTTTAGAAGGTACAAGGTTCCTGATGGAAAACCAGAGAACCAGTTTGCTTTCAATGCAGAATTTAAAGACAAGGTAATGCATATCATTTATATCTGTAGCTTTATACCTGTTTGTATTCATACATATAATTTAGCAATATTGTTACCAGCTAAAGACTATATGATCTATAAACAAGTGTCTAGAGATATTTATTTATTTAAATGTTCTTTTTCATTTTTGACCCAAGGAAGTGATTCAGAGGGATGAAATATCAGGCTTTGGGAAATGCAGATGATGGGAAAATGTTAACAAGAGTAAAAACACTTTTCAATAGTTGTAAGCATTATCTCTTCAAATTATAGGATTTTGCAGTTGATATTATTAAAAGCACCCATGACCATTGGAAAGCATTGGTGACTAAGAAAATCGATGGGAAAGGTATTAGTTGGTAAGTGTTCTCTGCATGTTTCACACGTGAAGCAGACCAACTTGCTCCAAAAGGTATAATGACCAGAAGACACTGTCCCATTACAGCCCTTCAGAACAGGGATAACGGCTCTGTTAGTCAATGCTCAAGTGAGTGGGAAGATAAAATCCATACACAAACAACTGAAAACTACCCATAACATCTTCTCTGAGGGAGTACAGTCTAAAACTGCAATGGAAATATAACAGGGGATGACTCCAAGGCGGGTTGCTGTCCAGCACACATAGAATCTAATCTCTGGACATCAGCCTTTGAGAATGAAAAAATAGATTTTATTTATGTAGTGTTACGTAAGGAGTCAGGAGGAATTCTCCTCAAATCTGACTTCCCATAGTAAGTGTCAGTTGCAACTTTATGGGGTTTAAAAGGGGAGATCTAATGCATAGGGATTTTTAGGGTGGTGCAAGTACACATGCAGCAGTCATATATTGCGTGTTCTGAAAATGGCCTTAGCATGATCGGTGGGGGAGTTTTCACACAGGATATGTCACTAGGTCATTTTAGGATAAGGCTGGAGTCTTCTTCAAACCTGGTAGGAACCAATGTACTCTTGTCACCTGCTTGCAACTGCTGTTTTATTTTTAAAGGCATTTTATTATTATTATTTATTTTGATTTTGATTTGGGTGAAAATTTACAGAGCAAATTCACTTTCCATACAGCAGTTCACATACACTTTGTCTCATGACATTGACTACAATTTACCACAATGCAACAGCTCCCCTCCGACTTCCTCCCAATAGTTACCTCTTCCCTGTGGCCATCTCTCCTACCTCTTCTTTGTGTCCATCCCTCCATGCACTCTTGCCCCCTGAGCTGTCTCCTTGTGCATAAACAGCCCTTCTTTCTCTCATGATTGTTCTCTCCAAGGAGTGTATCTACCTCAGGTAAATGTTCAGCTCATATGCCTGTCTATTGTTTGGCTGGAAGCCACAGGTCTGCGTTCAATTCCAGACCTGAAGGGCAGCTAGGGGCCATAGTCTCAATGGTTCCACCAGGCTCTATTGGGCCAGCAAAGCTGTTCCCTGCTTTTTTTTTTTTTTCCAAATGATTTTCAGTTTTGTTCCACATTGTTCTCCCTTTCTATCAAAGATCTTTTTCCAAGTGGTTGACAGTAATAGCCAGGCACCATCTAGTTTTTCTGGTCTCATAGTTGTATAGGCTGCAGATTGGATGGTGTACCAGTTGCTAGGACTAATTGTTTCCATGAATTTTGGTTTTCTTCATTCTTGGCTCTGGATGAGGAGAGACCCATCGTTGCATCTAGATGGCAGCTTGCTAGCTTTTAAGATCCTAGTCGCTACTCACCACAGTAGGAGGTGGAACAATGTTTTGTGTAGTACGTTATGCCAACTGAGCTTGATGTCCTCTGTGACTATGGTCCCGAGCCCACAGGTTCAACTACTCGGTCCCTCTGGGTAGCTGGCTGTGACCAAGAAGTGACTACAACCTTGCCTTTGTCAGCCCCATTATACACCTGGGAATTCAGATCATACACATAAAATTATTGTCTGCCAACCCTATACATGTTCTTGGGTGCACTCTCCACTTCATAGACATACCTAATATTTCAGCCTGTCCACCCATCTATCCACTCTGTGTTTTCCTTCACTGACCATGCTGTACTGTATGCACAAAAGGGTTCATCTTTGTTGTCTGTACTTCCCACATACCTCTCTATGTCTTTCTCTTCCTCAATGCCACTATATTGATCACTCACATTTGATACATTGCCCTTCTCTTCACCCAAATCAGTACTTATCTCTACCTATCTAACAGTGTTTCCTACCCTCCCTTCCTACCCCTAGTAACCAACAAAGAAAATGACCTTCCATAGATAAACGTTTCCTTGACTGTTACAATAACGGACTAAATACAATATTTGTCCTTTTGTGATTGTCTTATTTCACTCAGCATAATGTCCTCCAAGTTCATCCACGTTATGCG